CGGAGTCGACTTTCCGAGCGAGCCCGAGAAGGCGTCCTCCCAACAGGCTTCGCTGAACTGCGTGCCTGATTTGGGATTTCATGGATGCATATGTGTGGTCGCTATAGAAAATGTGTGGTGGCATGACACGCATCCACCTGGACCTAACTGTGCCCGGTTGAGGTGCCTTCTCACCTAGGGTTCCGTGGGATAACTGTACGACCGTGAATTTTTATACGCCACCATTATTTTTGAAAGTCCCCTGGTCATATGGGCCATGACAGAAATGTATTACATAATGCTGGGTGTGTGGCCAGTGCTACCGCTGAGCTGGGAAGTGAAGCAGAAGAGGGGAGCCCTGGCTGCAGGGCCTTGTTTGGGCTTGGGATGTGGCCTGGTCTCCTGAAGCTGTGAACTTTGGTGTCTGGCCTGGAGTAGTTGTGTGTGTATAACCCAGTCTCTTGTGCCCTTGAATGAGCTGGATAGTGCCCTGGCCCTGGCCCTGGCCCTGGCCTTCCTGGGGTTCCCCATCCATTTCAGTGACTAAGTCTCCACAGATGACGGATTGTCACTTACTCGCCCTTGCGGGGAGGCGGTTGAACTAAATACATAAATGATGAAAGCAGTCCCTATTCTTTAGGGTAAAATGCTGCATACATAGATTCTTGATTGTTATATCATAGATTTTTGCCTGGAAGCAGCAGCCTTGGGCAGTCGTTGATTATCTCCTTGGGAAGAGAGATTAAATCATATTATGATTGCATGTCTGGCACATGGGATATGAATCTTCATAAATGCCCCCCGGGTAATACCTAGTGCATAAATCCACTGGGTTCTTCTGGGAACAGGTAAACTGCCTGGACTTCCTGAACCTTGGATGAATTGGGTATCTGAACAAGTCTTTCTCCTCATCTCATTCCTTCTCATTCTTTTCATGGCCATTTCCATTTCTGATTCCCACTTCCTCTGATTACTTAGCCACTAGATTTACCCTAAGGGTTGAGGCATTCAAAGTGTTATGTTAAAATATAAAATGGGGGTTTGCAGAAAATCTTTAATCTATTTCCAAAGCTTTAGGTCTGACTTTTTCTCCCCTGAGGGACTGAATTCCTTTTGTGTGGACTCCACCGTCCCCCCACCCCCGCACCCCCTATTTTAATACCCTCAAGCTGTATTTACACGCCAGGAAATAAACTCACCATCTCCATCCCAATCAAAATCAATTTGCTATATAAACAGAAGACTGAAATGTCAGAACCCTGAACCTAGAGCCTTTTCCAGTCTTCATTATGTGTGTGTGCTAGCTCACCAGCCTCCATGTCTTTCTTCAGATTCCTAGTGCTTTGCATAACAGATGCTCAACAAGTATTTTTCAACTAAGCAAATTAAAGTAGAGAGTTATACTTACGTACAATTGGCCCCTCCTGCCAGGCTTAACCTAGTATCTTGTACGGAGGAGGTGCTCACAAATGTTAATGATGGTGATGAAACCCCTCTTAACACACATTCACAGTCTGAAAGAGGCTCTATACCTGACCATCAGATTTATCTTTTCTGTGTCTACTGAATTTCCCAAGATGGTAGGAAGGGAACTAATTGAAGTTAGCTGTTAGAATAGCTCTGATGGGAAACGAGTGTGAAGAGCAAGAAGGAATGAAGAGGCAATCACAGAGCCCCTAGGATAATGCTGTATTTTTAAATGAGTTCCCCTAGAACCCCATATGTCTAAATTTTAAAATAAAATTATTTTACTTTGCCAAATACTAAATATCTACATTATAAAATGTACGTTATATAAAATATATCTATAAGGGGCTGTCCCGGTGGCATAGCAGTTAAGTTCTCGCATTCTGGTTCCACAGCCCCGGGGTTTGCTGGTTTGAATCCTGGGGGTGGACCTACTCACCGCTCCTCAAGCCATGCTGAGGCAGCGTCCCACACAGAAGAACTAGAAGGACCTACTACTAGGATATACAACTGTGTACTGGGGCTTTGGGGAGAAAAAGGAAAGAGGAAGATGGGCAACAGATGTTAGCACAGGGCCAATCTTCCTCAAAAAAAGTATATCTACATTATTTATGTAAAAATATAATGTATATAAAATGCATTATATAAAAGTATTTTTGATCTATAATCTCACCACTGTTAAGATTTTGCTTATCTTATTTCATCAACTCTAGGATGCAAAATTCTTCACTTGTTAACATTGCTATGGCGACTCATACTCGCTGCCGGCCACACTGAGGTCGAGTTCTCACAGAAGAGACTTGTGTTTGCCTTTGTCAGCCATCTGGAGGCACCACCAACTGGAGACTGCTGTGAGTTAAATTCTCCGCTTGAGGTTCTTTGGACCATGCTGGTAGTGCGAATTCAAATGGGAACACCGGCTTATAGTTCGAATTCTTAGGCAAGTTTTTTCCTCCGTCCACCCAGTGCAAAGTCGAGACAAGGAAGTTTCCCTGCCTGGCCCTCTCTGCATGGGAGGTTTATTTGCCAGTTGTATATGGGGTATCATATTAGACTCCCCATCTTGGGCATTTTTTATGCTTAGTGGCATGTAAAAATAATAGTATATCTTAAAATAGATGATAGGTTTAGATGTTTTTCTTTCCTATGTTTGTATGTTGATCATACTATATATCAATTCTGTATTCTTTTTTCCTTAACATCAGGCTATGAACATTTTGCCATCCTATTAGAAACTTTTTACATGCATGATTTTAATGGTTTCCACTGTATGTATGTTTGAAAATTTACTTAAGCATTCTCTCTCATTGTTGGACAATCAAGCCTGTCCCTTCTTTGTTGGGCCTAAAGTGTTGGCCAATTTCACTCTGAGCTAACACTAGGTACCTATTACATGCCAAGCCCCTCGCAGTGCACTGGGACACCTGTGAAGAAGCAGAGATCGCTCATCAGGCTTACAGACTAGCAGGGAATGCAGCCATCAGGCAAGGTATGAAATATAGAAGGAGGGGTGACAGGCAGGGCAAGTACCATCAGCCATTCAGGTTGCTGACTCATGACAGACAGCCAGAGGTGGCAATACTGGGTTAAAATGTATTCATGTTTTTCAGGTTCTTGATTGCCAAATTGTTGATTCACAAGTGTATAAGGGCATCAGTTTCATTTCACTCTTGTCCCAATTAGGTATTGCCACTTAAAATCTTTTTTGCCAATTTGTCAGATGAAAATGTCATTTTGTTTTAAGTTGTTTTGTGCCTGAATCTAATCATGATTTCAAAATATATGTTGGTGCTTTGTGGTTCCTCTTCAGTGCACTGTCTGTTCATGATGCCTCTTGCTCACTGATCCTCTGGGGTCTTTGTGCTCTTGTTATCAATTTGCATGAGTTCTTTATGCAATAAGAATATTAATCTTTCGTCTGGCATGCTTTTTGTTAATATCATTTACAATTTATTGTCTGGTTTCAATGCTGCTTAATTGCTTTATGATATATAGAAGCCCTAAATTTTACCTAGTCAAACTTTCTGTGATTTCTTATGTTGCTTTGACATTTAGAAAGTTGGTTCCCACCCAGAAATTTGATCAACATTCACTTTTATTTTCCTCTAGTTATTTATAGATTGATTTTCTACATTTGTTCTCTTAATCTATTCAATGTTTATATTGATATGTGATATGAAGGGACTCAAATTTTTTGTGTTGAATAGTTAACCAGTACTTGCCATACTGCTTATTGAATAGTTCTTCCACTTCCTTTGATTTATAATTCCCCTTTAGAGTACAATATTACTGATATTTACTAATCTATTATTCTTTGCCACTGACGGGTCTATTCTTACACTAGTACCACACTAATTATATATACATAATTTATTTATTTCTAGGAGAGGTAGTCTTTTCTCCTTACTCTTCTTGTTTTTAAAAAAATCTTTAGCTATTTCTCACAATTATTTTTCCATGTGAAATTTAAAATCATTTTATCTAGTTTCAAAAAAATGTGAGATTTTTTCATTCAGACTGCACAAGAATTACATATTTACTGAAGACAAATCAACATCTTTATATCGCTAAGCCATTTTATTCTCTCTGCTAGGTAGGAATAGGTGACCCTGCTTCCGTGATCCATCTGCATAATTAGTTGACCAGGGCAAATCCTAGTGGTCCAGACAGGAGTGCAGACTGTGGGACAAGCTGAGGTGTAACAGGGTGAAATTCAGACTATGAGTGGAGGAGATGAAGAAAAGAATCTTCCTAATGGTCTAAGGAGTATCTGCACCCTTCTCTGTCCCATGAACTTAAGTCCCACAGTCAGATACTGAGAGAACCCAAGGCCCAGAGATATCCAGGGGTATCTGATCTGTTCCAGACTTCCAACTTCCTAACATTTATCTTATACATTCAACCACGCTGGCTATAACATCAGCCCCATTTGCACTAGTTTTCCCTTCACTCCTCTCAAATCATCTGTGCTGCAGGCACTTGTTGGTGTGACTCAAGTTGAAAGCACAGTAAATCACATACCACAGAAATGGTGTAGGGATTAGTAAAATGGAATGTATATTCAAAATTACTAAGTTATTTAAAGTCAACACATCCCTCCCTTTTGGGCCTCTGAAATTTGCACTACAGTTGAAAATTAAAAATTGGAAACCTCGTAAAAGGCATGCATTCTGCAGGGTCCATCATGAGGACAGACGGAAAGCATAGCAGCATGCATGCTGCCAGATTCACAGCACCGACTGTGTGGCAAGCCCTGTTCCAGGTGATGGAAATAGAGCATGAAACAAGACTTAAGTCCCTGTCCTCATGGAATTTAGATTCTATTGGGGGGTGGGATAAGGGAGATAGACAATTTTAAAAATGAGCCATTAAATATATAATACATGATGTAGTGATAAGTGTGAAAAAACATGAAACAGGGTAAGGGACCAGAAAATGAGTGATGGTACTATCTGAAGTTGTTGGGGAAGATCTCTCTGATAAAGGACCTTTGAGCAGACACCTGGAGGTGATAGGGTCAGTGAGAAATATGAGGCAGGATTTTGGCATCTGGAGGAACAGTGAAGAGACTAGAGCAGAATGTGTGAGGGGGAATCAGGAGTCAGGTTGTGGGTGAAATGGGAGGCCCTGGAGGATCCTTTAAAAGGATCCCCTTGGCCACTGGGTGGAGGATAAGCTGCAGTAAGGCCTGCGTGAAGGCAGGGGATGCCCTTAGGTGGCGGCTCTTGCCTCCAGGTGGGAGGCAATAACAGAACTGAAAGGATTTCTCATAGATTGGATGCAGGGTTGCAGAGAAAGAGAGTAGACAATGATTACTCACAGATTTTTGGCATGTTTTCATTTACCAAGAAATGAAAAAATTGCAGGAGGAGTGCGTTTGATAGGAAAGATCAGGAGTTTGGTTTCGCACATGTTAAGACTGAGATGCCTATTAGACATCCAAAGGGAGATTTGACTGGGCTGCTGCAAATCTGAAGTTCAAGAGACAGGTCTGTGATGCAGATATAAATTCAGAGGTCACTAGCTTACAGACAGCGTTTAAAGCTATGGGCTGGACAATATTCCGAGGAAGGGAGTGTACACAGAGAAAAGTCTGGGGGACTGAGCCCAGGGACCTCCAGAGGTTAGAGGTCAGGAGATGAAGAGGAGTGAGCAAAGTGATTCAAGTACTTTATGGACCGTTTAAAAAATATATATGTATATATATTCATTTACTTGATTTTTAGACATTATTTTAAACATTTTAATAAGTAAATATCCATGGCAAAGATTAAATAATCAAATTGCATGCAGGATGTATAATGAGCAGCAATTTCTTCTCCTCCAACCCCCAGCCCCACTCTCTCTCCTTAGAGACAACCACTTTTGACAGTTTCTGTCTTTAGAATTTCTGGTGGTTACTTTCAGTGGAAGAACTTTAATTCTTCTTTATCATACTTCAAAAAATCATTAAAAGTTTGCTTTGTTTTGTTTTATGAAGGTAAAATTTCAATGTGGGGATCTTGTAATTGGATCAGAAGTATGAAGAAGTGGCTGATGTTTGACCAAATTACTAGTGACTTCCAGAGCCCACCCCTTGGAGCAGAGAGAGATGTCAAGATTGAGGCACAACAGACCCAGCTCTTAGAATGAGTCTTTTCCATCCCTACTAATTTCTTCCCATTAAAGCAGTGTGTGTGTGTGAGAGAGAGAGAGAGAAACAGAGAAGAAATCTCATCTCTGAGGCTGCAGGGCTGGCCTTGGGCTAGGTCATACAGACAACCTATCACCTGCTCTAATTTTAGAGAATCAGGGAATGGCCAAATCCCATATAAATTCTCCCAACCATGGCTAATAGAGAAAAGACCAGACTAATGAGTCTATACCATAGTTTTAAAAAATCTGCTCCTTAAAGTATGGGCAGTACATCAGCAATCTCTAAATTATTGGATGTCCAGTTAGAACTCTGTTCCTGTTCTAAGAAGAATACTGTGTCTTGTGAGTGCACAAGTGTCTCTGTTATAACAGCTATTTTGATGAATATCCTGTAGTTCTAGCAAATGGGAAACTTTGGCAAGAGAAGCATTCATTAGAATATGATTTATTCAGTACATAGATTTATAATAGATTTCAAATTAATAGATTAAGGATTTTTACTAACGACACTGAAGTATTCATGGCTGAAAGGACATGTTATTAGTGATTTACTTTAAAATACCCCAGCACCCACCCCAACAAAGTTGCACATACAAGATTGTAAAACTGCCCATAATTTTTGAAGCTAGGTATTGGTATACTGGGACTCATTATACTATATTTTTTTCTACTTTTGGTATGTTTGAACATTTCCACAAGAAAAAGCAAAACAAGAAGAAGAAAAGCGTTAATGATAGACTCCAAGGCTTTAAAGTGACCTCCAGGCTTTACCTTACGTGGCCCACAGTCTTTCCCTGGAATTCTGTTTTGCGGGCAGTACTGCTCAGTAGATACAGATGTACAAGTACTTTGAAAGGAGCAACATGGTGGCCAAATATAAAGTAGTGTTAATGATTTATATAGTTATCACTAGATTCACTGCAACTGACAGGTGTCTGCTTCTGTGTACTCCCTCTCAGCAAGGGGAGGAGATCAAGAGACAGTCCCCTTTAAGGCTCCTGGCTTGGCTGACTGCCCTTGTCACAGGAAGAGCACTGTTAGGAGTCAGGAGCACCTGAGACCCCTGCTGCAATGGTCCACGCCCAGGGCAGCTGCACCAATCTGCATCTGCTCACTGTCACCGCTGCTGATGGATTTGTCCAGGGAGCTGGAGAATATATGCTGGTGATGAACATATTCTGCTTTTCTTTAAGTTACCATAAACTTTCCCCTGCAGGATTGAAGCCACACTTCTGGTTGTGATGAGAGACTGAGCAAGATAAGGACAAGGAAGTATATGGGGTTGAAGTGGGCGAGGACTTTAGAGATATTGCCTGGTGCTCTCAGATTCCTCCACATGTTGACAGGCCCACAGGCCCTGGTCTGAGAACCCTGATTGCTGCACTGTTGCCTCTGCAGGGCACATTCTGGTGATAAAAGCCAACTTTTCTTCTCCACCACCCTGGAGTTCCCTGAAGTTTGTCTCTTGGACTTAAGCGTCCAGGTCCAACAATCTGGAGGACCAGAGAATCACTTTCATCCTAACCCTCTTCAAGTCTTCACTTCCTGTCCCAGAATCTGCCAGCTTCCCAGAAAGCCTGACAGTAAAAACGTCCATTTCTTGCTTGGGAAACCAGACCTTCTAATGGTTGCCAATGGGGCAGTCCCATCAAATATACCATAATCCAACATCGGTATTTTTTCAGAGTCTGGAATGACTCGGTCTTAATTCAGTCTTCAATAAATAATGTGGGAGAGCTTCGCTTTGGCTTGTTCAAGCATTTTTTTATGATTTTCCTGACTGAGGGGACAATTAGGCCAGCATGTCCTTCCTAGAAGTGACAGACTCTCAAACAAATATCTCATTTTCTGTGGCCTTAGCTTTATTTTTGCAAAGGAACAGTCTACTCTGAAGGTGAATACAAGTTTCCACCTCTTGCAAAACCGATTTGAATAGTTAGATTTTCCTGCTTCTGTTCTTCCCATCAGTATTTTGAAGGCCTCAGAACTAGGGTTTGGTCAGAGCAGAGCTCTCAGTCTAGGAGCTTCCTCATTGCTCAGCAGTGTCGGCAAGAGGAGAGCTTCCCCTAACCACATGGGTTAGGGAACTCAGCCCTGGGATGTGAAGCTGGCTTCCTGCTTGCACATCTTACTCCTGGGAACGTGGCTTTCCCCCACTGTAGCAACCCCTGCTACAATAAGAAAAATATTAAAAGTTTTAAAAAGTCAAATACTGACTATTTTACACAAAGTTGAGATATATTAATTTTATTTCCCCAAGTCCATTCAAAAACAATTTATGGAACACCCAATATATCTCAGGCATGAAGGGAAAAATCGCCTCCCTTCTCCTCTTACTGCCACAGATTACATGGGTTCCCCTTCTGACACCTCATCTCAACTACGATGTGATGCTTTTTGTCTGGGATGGATGCCTGAGGTGTTAACATGCACTGAAGCAAAGAGGGGATTTTTCATAATGTGAAGAAACTAAGAAAAAAGAGTAAAGCGTGACACCAAAAACAGTGAGGCTGTGGGCCAGAGGCAAAACGTGCGCCTCCAGAGAGCCCCTCGGGCCATTGAGGTCAGCAACTGCCCAATTATCTTTATTCCATTTTCCAAATTGGGAGTATCTCTTTTGTACTTGTTATTATACCTTTTTTGATTCTGCAAGCCTTAGCCACAATCATCCGCTGAGTGACAATACATGGAAGGTGAACGGTGCAAGTTTCTAATAGAACCACCGCTGATAACATGAGATCTAAACTATCATGACAGCACAGTTGCCTCCCTAGGCAAACAGTGTAGTCATAAATAATGGTGATTTGGGGTTCTAGCAAGGCCGAGAGAAAAGGCAGGGCTGATGGTAAAAAACAACCTGTTCTGCCAGGGTGACACCCAATAAACCAGCCCCTGTGCCCTACTTGCAGGTCCGTGATACACTCAGAGTGTCTCCGGTTAGTCCCGGAGACTGCTTGAGAGCAGAGCCAGCCTCCAGCTGGCCTGGAGAGGTGAGAATGGCTAGCCAAAGCCTGTGAGGGGAAACTGATCAACACCAAGGCTGTAGCAAAGGAGTTATATCACATGGCCTCCTGATTTGTGAACAAGAAACTCACTCCGAAGCCCAGAAACTCAGTTAATAGTAATTTCTTTATTGGTAACCTCTGAGTCCTCCTTTCCCTGTGGATGACTATTGTCATTGGCCCCTGTGGGATGCGGAACCTCTGATAGAGGTAAATAGGGAGCTACTGCAGGCTATGAGTAGTATCTTATCCCCTATTGAATGATTTGGGAAAGTTCGTGTGGGCAGGAGGGGAGAGAGGAGGGCGAGGGAAGTATTGGGTGGTGTGTGCACCTACAGAAAGCTGGGGCAGAAGACTCTTAGCTGAAAAAATACTTTCACATCCCCTCAGTTAGTTTTGTATTTGGATTAACCTCCTTGTGAGTTCAGTTGGAAATGGGAAAAAAGTGAAAGAGGAGAAAGGGGTGGAGGGATTGGTGAAGAGAGAGAAAATGGAAGAGGGGTGACAGGCAGTGGGTAACCAAAGACTATCAAGAGAAGAGAAACAACTTGTTTCAGGCAAGATCAAACATCCTCAGCACCTCTCTGTCTTGGGGCCCACATTTATGTAAATAATCCCTCCTGTCCAGTACCTCTAGAGTCTCCCCTGCAGATATTGAAGGGCTCATGTATATCATTTCCCTTTTTCATGGACTGCCTTCACATGGGTTCTCCTATAAAGTGATACTGGCAGCTTTTTATTTTCTTCAAGGAATTTTTTACCCTTCCCGTGGGGGCTCTCTGAGAAAGAAACTGAATAATGTATTTAAAGATATTTAAACAGTAAGAAAACATATTTTACAAAATAAGACATTTGGGGCCAAAGTAATTGCCATTTGCAAGTGATATATATCTGCTTCTATGTGGTGCTGATCTTTCTAGCCTTTCTTTTGTCAGTTTATTTAAAACTTTGTCTCATTCTCTAAAAGCTTTAACTGCTAATACCTGGGGGTAGGCGGGGGTGTGTGGATGCCTGAATCAGGGCAGGTGTGTCTGGCAAAGATCTGCAGTGTGTCTCTATTAGGGAGATGAACTCCAGCCAAGATATGTCAGAGGCTGTTTAAGGATCATTATGATAGCCAGGTGATGCTGAATTCTAATTAACTGCCGTTAGCCATTGGGTAGGTGGGGAGTGGAAGAGAGGAGAGGGTGATATTTCTAGATGATAGATGTAAAAGAGTGATAATAATTTCTTCCTGATAATGAACTTGTTCCCAAATTGGCTAATGGGTATTTTTAAAACCATGCCAAATTAAAGGAGTCCAACTATCTCACTAGTCTTTTGTAACACGTGGGTTCAGGGAGACTGTATGGGATATCCAGAAGAGTTCTACACATAAATTGGATTTAATTGCTCAAAGAGTTACTGGAGCTTTCTTTAATTAGAATGGAAATAAGGATAAGCTGTGCTCTTACAGCGATGTGGTACTTAAGGGAGAAAACGAACAGCGTGCCTTCACGTAGCTGTTAGTGGGCAGAGGGGAGGGCCGGCTGAAATCGTGGACCTTGCCAGCTTATGTTTCTGTCTCCTCCTCACTTCTGCAGCTCTATAGTGTGCCCTTCTCATAGGCCTTCTTGCCTGTGTTGTAAAGCTCTTTGGCTGAGATGGATGACAGCAGTATTAACAAAGAACTGAAGCAGGAATTTTCCTATTGTGAAGAAGAGAGTGAGAACGAAGGGCAGAAGGAAGCACAAGAGAGCAGGGAGGCCCAGAGCCAAACCCCAGAGAAGTCTGAAGTTCAGGATTCAGAGGCAAAGTTTACACCTCCCAGGACTCCCCTTAGTAACGTACAGGAACTCCACACACTTCAGGAAAGAGACAAAGTGAGTCCAGACCAGGTTTTGAAGACTCCAGTGTCAGACTCTCGCAAATGTCCTGAAACACCAGCCCAGCCAGACTCCAGGAGCAAGCTGCCACACTGTGCGAGTCCCTTCACTCCCAAAGTAAGTAAGTTGTGGGGGAAGAGGGACCGGGTCGCCAAGGTCTGTGTTCCTTCAGTTCAGCTGATAGAGGACTCAGTCATTTATGTGTATGTCATAGATCTGTCTCACAGGCTGTATAGATCCTCAGTTACATATTTACTGGTGAAAATGAAGAAGAGTTTAAAGTCACCAGAAAACAGAATTAAATGTCTTGCCAGCTGTGTTATCAAAACCACTGGTGCCAGCAACTGTTTAGCGTAGGCCACAAATAAATCTTAGGTGGGGAAAAAGTGCCTAGTTAAAAAATACTGGAACTGGAAGGAATATTGAGATGTAGAGCCCAACCCATGCAGCACTCTACATATGAGAACATCAAGGTCTCAAGAGAGAAACTGGCTTTGAGCTCAGCTGGTGGCAGAGACAAGAATAGAACCCTGATCTCTTGGTCTTAGTCTCTTATTCTTTCCATTATGCCAACTGGCTCTATTTTTATGTGATTATTTACTGCTATTTCCTAATATAAGAAAGTTAGCATTCACTCTTTGAACATATTCATATCTCGGTGCTGCCTCTCTTCCTGGAAGGAAGTCCTCTCCCCTCCTTGGTCTAGTGAAGTACAGGCTCTTCTATTATATGTGAGCAAAGAGATAACTTGTTGATCCTTCTTTATAAGCTGAGGATGGCAAATAAGCAAAGGTCCTGAATAGTTAGCATATTCCTTTATTCTTGTTGTGATCGGTCTCCTATTACATCTTTCACATTATTAAAGCCAGGATCGGGGCAGGGTTACCTCTAATAGACTGGGGCCGTGTGTGAGCCTTAGGATTGGTATTCGTTCTGCTTTCTGCTGGCTCAGCTTGAGGTACTTAAGATCATCATCATAACATCTGTGCTTCTGATTGCAGCACAGTCACTGTCAGCAGGTTGCTTTAGTACCTGCTGAGTATGGCACCACATCTCTCAGGAACTACTAAGCTTCTTGTCTGAATTGTAGACAAGTACTTTAATATGATCTTGTGTCCGTATAGGGGGGTTTTCAATAGTCCCAATGCCAGCTGATCAATCATCCATTTATTTTTTGAGAACCCACTGTGGGCAAGTAGCATAAGGCACAATCTCTGAGAGAGAGGAGATGTGCCTATAGACACTATGTGATAGGTACTTCAAGAGTGGTCAGAGTTCTCTGGGTGGATTGTTTCTCAGTGGGGTGACCAGGAAAGAAATAAGGTGAAGGAAACATGAAGGGCGGTGAAAGTTGGTATGGTTTTGATATACGGAAATTAAGTGGAGAGTGGGCTGAGAGAATGTGGCTCTGAGCAAGAGAACATAGGAAAGAAAACATGACGTGGTATGTGTATTTCGTCCATTCATTTAAAACTTAACAGAACATCTTGATAGGCTAGCAGACGTCGGCTGGCACACCCACTTACTGCCTTCAAGAAATGCCCACAAAATAAATAAAGATTAAAAAACAACTGAAACTATAATTAAAGTTCAGAGCAGGTCTGCTAGAGAAGTGTAGAGCATGATGAAAAAGAATTAGGAATTAAGTCTCAAGATAATCAGGGAAGCCTTTCCAAAGGAAGCAATGTTTGGGAGAAATCTTATAGAATGAGTTGGAGTTCTCCAGACAAAGAGGAAGGGAATGAGAACTCGAGGCTGAGGGAAAAGCATCTACCAAGTTCTGGGGGGGAAAGATCATGCTACACCTGGAAGTCTGCATGTTATTCAGTGTTACGGGGGTCTGTATGTGAGAGAGTGCAGGCAGTGAGGCCAGAGTAGGTAGGCAGGAGCTAGATCAAGATTTCATCCTGAAGGTGTTGAGAGCCGTTGAAATGTTTTTGAAGGGGGCGTTTTTGAAACATGACCTTCATATGAAGGATGGAATGGAGTGGGAGAGATCCTGGAGACAGGGCAGTATTCATAGTAGATCTGCTGAGAAAGGAGAACGGCCTGAAGTAGGACAGTGGTGGATAGCAGTAAATTGAGAGATGTTCAGGAATTGGTAACTGACTTGATGGAGGGGCCGAGGGAAAAGGCGAGATCTAGGATGACTCGGAGGCTTCTTGCTTGTTTGTGTAAATGGTACCCTGAATCAAGATAGGTGACGCTAGAGGATGTACAGGTTTGGAGAAAGCAGAAATGTCATGTAAATCGTTGGATGAATGGGTCTGGAGTGCAGGAAAGCAATCGAAGTTGGAGATCTGTATTTGGATATCATCAGCATTTAGGAAGCTGTTGAAGCCATGAGTGTGGATGAGTTCATGTAGCTTGAGTGCTCGAGTCAGAAGAGAAGTGGTCCAAGTTAGGAATCCTGGAAATGCGAAGATTTGTGGGAGAGGAAGAGAACAGAGTTTGGGAGGGAAACTGAAAATGCAACTGGGAAAGTACATACTTTATGAAGAATATAGTTTTGATCAGGGTTAGAGGAGAGAGGCCAGGGTGATGATAATTGGAGATGTTATACCAAAGACAAGGATGCGGAGAAAGGAGGATTGGCTTGGTTCAAGCTTAGCCCAAGGGATAGGACCAGAAATCATGTGAAATGACTTCAAGGCACCGTAAGTATTTCCTAGCAGAGTTATCTAGAGATAGAAAAGCTTCCTCAGGAGGTAGTAAGGTCCATGTGGCTAAATGATCACTTGGTAGGAAGGTTGTAGAGGGGACTCAAGATCAGGGGACTAATTGTACTGACTGGGCTTTTAAAGTCTTTCCCAGCCCGGAGACACTGTGATGTTGTATCTTAGGGAGGTTGCCGCCACCTCCTCTCACCATCTTAGAAGTCAAGGAGCTATTCAGTAAATTTCCTTTCTCTCTCTTAATCATCTGAAACAGAGCTGTTACTTATGGAATTAGCTATACTCTCTGGAACATATTTATACTCTCAACCTGGTCATCTTTCCAGAAATTTTCAATCTGCTTTACTTTTATGAAATTCCTTTCATAGATCTTGTCCCAAACTATGTTCTTTTAGGTTTCAAAAGGATTACTCATAATTTTACCATTCTGGCAATAAAATCTATATTAACATAACTAATATCCTTCCCTATATGATAAGTGGAGCTCACAAAATCTCTTGGCCTTCTTATTTCCAGACTAGGAATTCTGATATTGTCTGCCCTAGTACGAATACTTTTCCTTCCTTTTATCTGAAAATTTTCTGAGTTCTTTTGGTGTCCTTGAGGTGTGGTAACCAGAACTATGTGCAGCATTCCAGGTGTGGATGCTCCACTGTTTCATATGTGATAGACACTTTTAACTTTCCATGAGATAATCAGCATCACAAAAACCTGTTTCTCAGGGAGTGATTTACTATAATTCTAAACTCTTTTCCTGAATCACATTGACAACTGAGAAATATTATATAGTACTGTTTTACTTCAGCCCTTATAATAAACTTACAGGAAAATTGTAAGTTTGTCATTGGTGGCTTTGTCTGGCATAGCCCCAGGGTTGATCACCCTGTAAACTCTAAGACATATGTAAAACTCTTGTAAAAATACTAGACTCTGGCAATGACATATTTTTCTTCACTTAAAAAAAAAACGTTAGGCTATTGTGTGTACCCTATAGCTTCCTTCATTTCTGCTAATATCAGTCGTTTAGTGAGTATTTATAATAAGTCCAGTATTCATTCTTTGTAGCCTCACATTCTTTAATTACATTTTTATGTAGTGAATCATGTTGTAATCTAGCTTCTGCTTCTACACTGAAAGTCATAGGCAGAGACTATCAAAACAGTAGAATTCTTTTAGAAAGAGCCTCACGGTACTATGATTACACTGTGAGGTTATATCATGGCCCGTGTCTACCGCTGTGCTCCGGAGCATCTGTAGCACACCTATTCCTCTGGCCTCTCACACTTAGGTCATAATGGCATTCTGCTGTCTCATCAGAGTTCTTTGTCTTTGACCTTTCCCCTCTGCCCTTTGGTTTAGTTCTGGTCATGTCTTAGGCCTGTGTTCTCTCACTGTACCCCACTTGGAGTGGTAAGTCTTACACATTTTCCTATTTATTGGTATGCTAGTTATGGCCACTGTAGAGCCTTGAATCTTAAGGGCTTACAGTACTGCTTGGCAATCTCTTTACCCCACTTCTTGGAGCTCGTCTCATTTGGTGCTACATTTTAAGTGGAATTGGAAACTTCTTCTTCCACGTTTAGATAGTCTGTGAAATCTTTCCCTTACAAAGTGGTTATTTCTGAAACATTGATGAACTGCTGACTAATAGACTGTGCCTTTCTTAAGAGCTGGAATTCACCTCTGTGACCCTCAGCATCTGCTACTTCGTAGGCACCAAACAAATATTTGGATGAATAATTAAGGGGAAGTTAAAGTATACTCTCTGAGAACATAAGGACCAGGTCTTCTAGAGTCATTTTCTCTTGCCTAAGCTTAAATGTCACCTTTAAAAAGTTGAATGTAGGACTAGAATTGGTGGTTTTCATAGCTGGCTATCAGAATTGCTTAGGGGACAGGAGTGGAGCTTAACAAAAGTACAGGTGTTGATCCCATGAATTAGACTATCTCGAGGTAGACTGGGAATCGGTATTTTTCATAGGAGGGCCAGTTACAATGCAACTAGTTTGCACTGACCCAGATAACCTCTAAGGCCCCTTTCAGCAATAACATTCTTTCCTTCAAATATTAACTAGCTAACTGATATATGGAACTTTTTTTAAACTAACCCCATTCTGATTTGCCTTTTGTCATCCTCATTCAGGGCCGGCTGAGCCAGTCGGTGATTTCTTCAACAGGGAAGCTCCCCACCAGAAGCTCTAAGCATCTGAGGCTCACACCTGGTCCCTTCACGGATGAGATGACCTCATCAGCTCTGGTCAATATTAATCCCTTCACCCCAGAGTCCTATAGAAAACAATTCCTTCAATCCAATGGCAAGAGGAAAAGCCGAGGGGATCTGTAAGTGTGCTGTTGCCTGTGACTTTTGAGAACTCATCTTACTATGGTGAAGTGGAAGGGAGAGTGTTAAAGTAAGATTGGGAACAAAACCCTATTTGAATGAAACTGATAACATGTTTACATATTCCCTCCTTCCTAAATGTCAGTGTTGGGTTTAACCTGCTTTGTCACAGAGATTCTAGCATCTTTCCATTCTGGAGTGTACCGTAAGGTGCCTTCTTCCTAAAAGAACAGGACAGTGAGCAATAGCCCTCTGACTTCCCTTAGGAAGCTGAATGGGCTATGGAATTGCATTCAAGGGATCTCCTCTGGTTAATATGAGGCTAGCAGTTGGGGAAGCTGTAGTTCATACTTCAAAGAGTACATTGCTGTTTTGAGTCTAGTTTATATGACTGGTGATGAGAGCTATAGAGCAAGGATTTGAACTTCTCTGCAGGTGATGGAAGATTGGCTGAAGAGAAAAAGAGAGTGTTGCTTTTGGAGGTGGTAAAAGTGGAAAGCCAAACTGCACTATTCCACAAAGGCATTGAATGGTAGAAATCATCTACATAAGGATTACGCATATTACTCAGGGACATTTCTTTACTATGTCTCTTCAGTGCTTCTTCTTTATAGAATGGAAGCACCTCTAAAACGTGCTCGTATGTACTCAGCAAAATAAACACACAGCTAACAACCTAAAGTTTGTAGGGCATTTAACGTGTTATGCTGAGTTGTTTCTTTTGCAATCAATGACTATGTATTCACCAGCCTTGTGGCCCGAATAGGTTTTCTCAACACCATCTCCTGGATCTTAAGTAAACAGGACTTCAGCATAAGTATACCGGTCCGCTTTTCTTACCAAGAATTCTATTGGTTTTAGGTCTTTAGGATTCTTTGTAAACCATCAGAATTAATGGTTTCACCTCTCACTGAAGCTAGCCGGAAAAGACAGCTAACTTGAATTCTTGGCAATGAAAGTGGTGACACTTTAGTTAGTGGTGACACTAATATCACTTAGTGTTTCTTGAGAGGATATTCTCCCCTATTTATTCTATTGTTGTTATTTTATAAAGTATTGGAATGTAGTATTAAATTTAAGTCACAAATGTCCAAGATCAATGTATTTCCATGAGTGTAATACCCTCCATTTGCCATTTCTACCCTGTACTTCTCCAGAAGAAAAGCCTACAGCTGGCTGATCTCGAAACTGAAATCCTGCTTGAAGATCCGGAACACACTGCTTGTGCCAAAGAGGATGTTTGTCAGACTTCAGCTTATTGACAACATCTTAGCCAGGCTTAGAGCTCAGTCTGCTCTCCTTTAGTCTACCTGTGACCTGACACAGAGCCAGGCTCCGGGGGAGGAGCGTGTGGGAGGGGATGTCGTGTGTGGCGGTGAAGAGCACTGAGCTTCACGTACAGGTTCACCTGTGTCCTGTGCACTCTCCTGCCTCCACTTCTCAGCATGTGTTGTTCTATTTGATTAAAACCCTGCACCCCTCCCTTAGCTGGTTCCTACTCCTCCTTGGAATCTTAGCTTACATACCCTCTCCTTTGGGAAAGACTTTCACTCTTGAAATAAGTAATTGGTTCTGTCTATGGTATTCCTTGATATCTTGTTCTTATCCTGTCCTAGGTTCTTATATTGAAATTCTTTTTCCCTGTCCCCAAATGCAAATTGAAGAGGGGAAGGAATTGTCTTACTTACTCTTACAGTCCCAGAACCTGGCATAGTATCAGGCTCAATAAGTCCTCTATACATTGATAATACATTGATATCACTTTTTTTTTTTCAAGTGAGGAAGCTGGTCCAGAGGAAGGCAAGGCAGAACAAGGGCTGCCTGCCAAGGTGAGCATAGTTCTTTGGCGCAGCTGTCATAACATAGTCATTTCATCCTATTGTGTCTGTCTGTCTGTCTCCCTCCCTCCCTCCCTCCCTCCCTCCCTCCCTTTCTCTCACCTTCCCATCTCCCCCTGCCCCCACACACTTTGTAGATTTATAGATGTGCTTGGCAGCTGAATTTATCTGGATTCTCATCAGGGTCGCAATTCTTAGCTAGTGTTACTTTGTCAGACCGTATCTGATGTGGATATTGCTGAATCATTACCTTGAAGTGTTTTTAAATTAAAGGCTACTGCTTCTATCTTTGATTCGGGAAAAATTCTATACTCATGGGGTAGAAAAGTAAAAGGAAAATCAGGATATTTAAGGTCCAAACGAGGAAAAACAGAACAGAGAAAAATGGCATAAATCCAGAAGTTTATATGTAAAATTTTAGTCTTAAATGTGTCAATATCTATTGGTTTTTGTAATAATGTTCACAATCTTTGATCTAGTATCCCTCATTTGATAATATAACCTAAGAAAATAATACTGTAAATATTATCACCAGACATGTTTATTGCAGCCTTAATTGCAGTAGTGAAACAAAGAAAAAAGGCATACTAAATGTCCAATAATAGAAGAATGGCCGCGTAAATCATGGTTTAAAGTTTGTGCCATATTAAATTGCCGTTAACATGTTTATAATGTCATGAAAACATGCCTATGTTCAGAGTGCAAGGTAGAGAGGGAGAGGGGGTGGGGAGTGATGTGGACGGTAAACTGGCTTATTTGGTGTCTGAGATGAGGATGGGAGGGTAGTGGGTGAGCAATTGGTGGAAGGCCTTGAGGCCTCTGAGCAGAAGTTTGGATTCCTTGTGGGAAACAGTTAGCCATGTCTGATTCTACGGTATCATTTTGCAAAAATAATTCTTACTGTTAGAGGAGTTGGAGAGAAGGCTGGTAGCTGTAGCAAATCCAGACATGGAGGAAACAGAGCTTCAGACTGCTTAAGGGCAATCAAAATTATAGATCTTGCTAATGAAGACTGATTGGAATTGGATGTTGAAAACGAAGAGCTAGTAAGAGTCAATATTAAACTCAAAGTTAGATGAAAAAATTCTTGCTAATGGGGACATTGGGAAAAGATGACTTTGTGGAGATAAATCAGCTTGGATTGAGCTTCATGTAAATTTATGGAGATTTTTGTCATCATAGCTACCGTTTACTGAGAATTTAGTATGTGCTCAGCATTGTACTAAGTTACACACACACACACACGCACACACATTTTCCCGTGTAATATTTAAAAGAACCCCGAGGAATAGTTGCTATGCTCATTTTACAGATGAGAGAACTGATAAACGAGTTCAGTGATTAGCCTGGGGTTATTTAACAGCTGGGTAATGAGTGATGTTGCTAGTTGGCCAGGAGGAGGAGAAGTTGCTGTACCTGAGCACATAATCTGAAATCATCAATTTGACAATTTTGTTTTCCAGACTAAGATTTTGAGGAAGCAAATTGAAAACAAGTATGTTAATCAACTTGAGATAAAAACATTAGCAGCCAGAGTGTGAGACAGGTAGACGAGAGTCAAAGGGAGGTGTCTTTTTTTGTTTTTTTTAACAAGTTCCACCCAGATCCCAGTTACTCCTTTATCTGAGGACGGTAGCTCTGGCTGTGAGTAGATGTGTCCCCTCTAGGAACATATAGAGAAGAATAGTATGGCCAGACAGAGGAAATAGTATAGAAAAAGATGTAATAATATAGAAAAGAGAAATGTCAGTACAGAGTTGTACGGAAGGTTATAAAGAGTACAGAGAGGGGCCAGCCCGGTGGTGCAAGCGGTTAAGTGCGCGTGCCCCGCTGCGGCGGCCCGGGCGGGGTTCTCTGGTTTGGATCCTAGGCGCGCACCAACGCACCGCTTGTCAAGCCGTGCTGTGGCGGCGTCCCATATAAAGTGGAGGAAGATGGGCATGGATGTTAGTCCAGGGCCAGTGGTCCTCAGCAAAAAAAAAAAAAAAAAAAGAGGAGGATTGGCAGATGTTAGCTCAGGGCCGATCTTCCTCACACACACACAAAAAGAGTACAGAGAAAGTAGTTAGCAATTGGGGAGGTTCTTGCTACAATGAATACTGACAGAATCCAGTGGATTTGCCTCAAATCAAAGTCTTTTTGAAAAGAGAGAAATTTAGAAATATAATATTCCTCAATTTTATTGCTCACAATATGTTAGGAAGTTATTTTAACTTTTTGTTAAAATATTTCAGAGATGTGTTCTACGAGAAACCAACATGGCTTCCCGCTATGAAAAAGAATTCTTAGAGGTAGAAAAAATTGGGGTTGGAGAATTTGGTACAGTCTACAAGTGCATTAAGAGGCTGGATGGATGTGTTTATGCAATAAAACGCTCTACGAAATCTTTTGCAGCATTATCAAATGAGTGAGTACCTTTGAAATGTACTAGAAGTACAAAATGGATTTGGAAAGCTGTATCTTGTCAAAATATTTTGAATAACAGCACTGATGTCATTAAAAAATACCATTTGCTGCTTTTTTAAGTCACTCCTCCCTCCCGTTGTATGTTGTCACATTCATAACCTTTCTGAGTTTTCCAGATCAGAGTTAAGTTATTTCCTAAAATATACCATGATCATTTCAGATCACTTTTGTTTTTTCGCAGTTCTCATGGCTTTTGCTATTGGTCTTACTGCTTTTTTTTAATGAATAGATTTAAGGAATGATCTTCTGGTGACTGTTTAGTTCATCAGAAATAATGCCAAGTAGGAAGTTATTGTTAACTCACTGGTTTAATCTCTACTTTATATTAATAATGAGTTCAATAGTTAATTTTCAAAGACTACAAGCAAGGAAAAATTAACAAAAATTTAAATTTCATTCCCAGAACTAATGGTTCAGAAGTTCTTCCTTTTCTCAAGGAAAACAAATATTTTCTGATTCATCCACTGCTTTTTATGAACTGTGAGAATATAATACTTGCTGAATCTGAAATTATAGACTTTGGAATTCTTTATTTTTACACTGAAATTCATCAAGTACTATATTTTGCTTTTCTTGTGTTAGATTTCCCATTCCATAATGAATATCTCTCTCCAAGGCTTCCCTGTGACTATATCATATTGGCTGAGTTTTATATTGACTCTGACTGTCTAGCCTTCGTAGATCTACACATCACAACATCCACAATCAAGTAGCCTCTTGTTAAGCCCATCAAGGTTTTTTGATTGTGATACAGTGAAATTAAGACCCAAAGCATGCTTGCTCTTGAGGTATAACCACCTTAGACTCCTCTTTACATATGCCATGTTCAGTCAAAAGACCATGGACTTTAAGGGGCCGGCCCTGTGGCCTAGTGGTTAAAGTTCCGTGTGCTCTGCTTCTGGGCCCTGGGTTCGGATCCCAGGCGTGGACCTACACACTGTTCATCAACCCACGCTGTGGCGGCGTACCATATATAAAATAGAGAAAGATTGGCACAGATGTTAGCTCAGGGCTAATCTTCCTCAAGCAAAAAAGGAGGAAGATTGCCAACGGATGTTAGCTAAGGGCAAGTCTTTCTCACAAAAAAACAAAACGAAACAAAACAAACCAGGGATTTTGGTACCAGAATGACTAGTGTTCTGATCTTAGGTCTACTATTACCAGCTTGGCTTTGGGCCAGTCACTGAACTTTCTAAAGCATTCTTCTTTGCCACTGTATCTTACTGAGTAGTTATGAGGTAAAATAGATAATGAGATAAAATAAGACATAAATGAGATAAAATAGTAAGCAGTGAGCACTTGATAAATGTTCTGCCATTGTTAATAACGCCTCATATCTTGTCTTTCAAAAACATTTTTATGTATATTATCTGGATTCTTTTTTTTTTTTTTTCCCTTAATGCTTTTCTGTCTCTTAGGAATTTGGCTTTGCATGAAGTTTATGCTCATGCAGTGCTTGGGCATCACCCTCATGTGGTCCGTTACTACTCCGCATGGGCAGAAGATGACCACATGATCATTCAGAATGAATACTGCAATGGTAAGTATGTGGGCTAATATCTATGGAGAGGAAGATGAACTTCTAAGTTTCCAGGAAAAAAAAAAAAAATCTTTGCCTCCTCTTGGTAGTTTATGCCAGGTGTAGCAAAGGAATACCTAGACAGTCTATACTACAATCTTGCTTGGAAGCACAGAGCTGGAGAAAATGAAGCGAGTTGAAAAGGAATTTCAGGTTTATGTTATTACATATTTCTTTCAAAGCGGGTGTGTAGCTGATACACGGAAGTTATCACTCCCTTCACAATTTACTTAATACTTAGAAAACTTTTACCCTAGTGGTTTGATGGTAAATCATCCTTTTACCATTTGCTAGGTATTCTAAAAGATGCAAGCCATAGTCACTACCATTTTGGAGGACGGGGTGGAAAATTTATACAGCCAACTTTTTATTAATTTTCAAGTGGATTCCTGAGTTTGGAGATTGTTCATGCTTCTTACTGCCTCTTACATTTGAGCTTTAGTGTTCTCACCAGAGTAAGGGTGTGGGGTGGGGGGCTGAGACTGAAACTCAGTGACTTCAGATCTATTCTCCCAGATCCTTCAGGACAACACACACGCGGTAATTGGTAAAACTTTTTTCTTGGCTACTTAAATCACAAAGAGTGGTCCTTTGATTTAACATATTTCTAATCTGTGATTAAGAGGCTAACACAATAGCAGTTATGTGTTGTTCTTGGAAATATTTTTCATCAAAATATTCAGTGGTAAAGTAGAAAGTGCTACTAAATTAATAGAATCTTTCCGTCATTTTAGGAGCAGCAATCCATATTCTGGCCACGATAATACTGGATAATGGCAGCCTTCCTCCCCAACCCTCCCACACATATACAGCCACTCTGCATTTCTCTAATAGCGCAGTCTGTCTTTGAGTAATTTTAGTAACCACCAGATAGCCCTGAGTCCATATGTCCAGCCTGGCTTTTGAGGACAGTAATCAGTGATGAAGCTTCATCATTCTATAAATAAATAAGTATATAAATAGGTAAATAAATAACATTATGAGATGCTAGGAACATAGAAAATGGTACCTCATCCCACAAAATAATGATTCGGTGTTTTCCTTATAGCCTGATTTCCTTGTAGCCTTGCCTGTGAACTTTGTGGGACTTTTTTCTCTAATAAGCTCACCTGAAATTCCTTTTTCTAATGTTCTCTTTGAAAAAGAAATTGACCTTTTCCTTATATTTGTGATTGAGAGCTTGAAACTTTTCTTAATCGTTTTCTCTTCCTAATTCTCTCTTATTGCAACCTGCGAGTCCCTATTTTTACCCTCCCTCTCTCTATAAGGAAGATTGGTTTTATTTCCATGACTTTTAGCTACTAACAAATATAATATCAAATAACAAAAATTAATCAATAAAGCCAAACAAAACTGATTTTAAAGTGATTTGGGGCAATGTAAATATTTCAAATTTTCTAAAAGAATAAGATGGAGTTATTGTTCCTGTGACAAATCATCTTCTAATTCCTTTTAACACTTGAACACCTTCTATAGGCTTGATGTTGTATCAGGCTCTAGGATGAGAAATACTGTAGAGTGAGACAGGGTAAGTCCTTATCTTCAAGGGGCTTCATTCCACTTGTTACAATGAATACGCAAGGGACAATTTGTTGCAAAGCCAGATGGAACACTATGGATAAAAAGCGTTCAGAGAAGATGAATGTGAGCAAGAGGCAGCACAGTGTGGTGGAATGGGCCTGGGCTTTAAAGTTGGGCAGACCTGGGTTCAAAACGCAGCTCTGCCACTCACTAGTTGTATGATCATTGGGATGTCACTTATTCGCACTGAGCAAAGAGATAGTAATATTTACTTAAGGGAGTAGTTTGAGAATTAGCAACACTCTATTTGTCAAATGCCAGCACAGTGTCATTACCTGATACATAGTAAAAACTCAATAATAGTTGTTGTTAGAGTAGCCCAAGAAAATCTCATAAAGGAGATAAGACTTGAATGAGACCTTGCAAAAGGATTACTAGAGTTTAGGAAACTAGAAGGAAGGTGGCCAGTTCGGGGAAGAGCATGCAGGCAAAGGGCATGGTACTGGGAATGGGCCTGACCTAGCAGACAGTAAGGAGACTAACAGGACTGACGAGACCCCTAGAGTAGGAAATAAGATCAGCAAGGTAAAGTGTGGGCAGACTACAGAGGGCCTTGAAAGCCAGGCAGTGGATGTGACAGATTATGGGGAATCTTTGTCTGTTCATCATGGTGATCCGCTAACTTTACTGAGTACTTGCCAATTAAAATATAACTTTGATTTATCAAAAAGTAATTCACATACGTTGAACCTTTTGAATATGAACTGATCATGGAAAAATCATGCCTTAAAACTTGTCTTGTTTGTAGTTATGGATAATCCATGTTGAGACTTTGCCCTGTGGCTCTAAATAAAGGATAAGTCCAAAGTAACTGTAAGGCAGCGGAGTAGTCAGTGCCTCATTCCTCCTCCTTGCATCCCCTACCTCTCCCTCCTTCTCACCTCTCCCTCCTCATGCCCTATCTCCCTACACCCGCCCTTACCCCGGTACCCCCAGCCTGTCATAGCAGTCAGGCTAGAACATGTACAGTTATGGTTTTAACTCAGATTATAAATGAGATGATTTAGATAACTTAGATTACAACTCTCAGAGACTAGCAGTCATCTAATGTCCCTACTGTCCCTCCTGAGCCCTGAACCAATCAGATGTTCCCTTCTCCCCGACCATTGCTGAGATCCCCTACAAGTCACCTCTGGGTCAGCTTCAGAAATCTGAAGGTTTCCTTTTAGTAGGTTGATTCTGCAACCAGGATTCTAATCCAATCAGAATTGGACGATTAAGCTCTTCCTAAAGGCAGTATTTTCTTGTGATGTCTTCTGTCGCTGAAGTTTTACAGAGCATGCTCCCCTAGGATGGGGGTTCTCACATTTGTTCGAGTGATGTGACATCCAGAAGTCAGCATCCTCCGTGGAGCACCACAAAGATTCGTTATATTTTTCCATCAGACAAACAAGGAACAACTTCACCAACAGAAAAATATGCTTGTGTTGTAGGTAGCAACATAAAATCAAGATTGTGAGAATACAAATGTATGAACAAAATATCCTGTTGAATTGTTGGTCTGCTTTTTACATTTTATTGTTAGAAGGCATTTGCTATTTATTTGTTTTGGTGTCTGTTTGGCCTCAGGAGCAGACAGGAAAACAGACACATTTTTGTAAGTTTTTTTTTGTGTGTGCGTGTGCGAACGCGCGCGCGCCAAGTGGGGAAAGTACCTTTATTTTATCTAAAGGAGGGAATTCAGCAGCTCATCTCATAAAGATGGTTAAGAAGAGCTGCAGGAGCTGGCTGTTTCCTCCTGGGGTACAGTGCTGGCAATCACAGCAGCCATCTCCAGGTGCTACCCTGGGCTAAGGAGTGAAGGCTCCAGGGTAGCTGGCTGACATTAGTGGGGATGAAGTTTACAGTTCAGTCAGTATTGCTATGTCTATAAGCACCTACTTCCTTGTTAATTTTATTTAGTAAAGCACAATTAATTATGCTCTTCTATAAGAGGTGGACAATTGGCTTCAGCTGTAGCAAAATAAGGATGTTCTAATATCTTTGCCTAAATGAGTACTTTTAGTAACTTCTCCCATTGTTTGTTGTTACTTGGCTAACTTGAATCTTACCTACAGAGCTTCTAGGTATTTAAAAGTGCTGCTAGCACTGGTCTAGTTACCCTTACTAAAGACCTGTAGCTCTTAAGGGGACTAGAAATATCTCTGCTTATAATCTAAAAACACATATTAAAGGGTTCCTGAGTACCCCAAGATGCTTCTTTCTTTCCGTACCTTTACAGGGTCCTTGGTTCAGTCTTTTACCTCTGTTGCCAGGATAGACATTCAGTTCAGATAACATTTATTATATGCCAGAACTTGGGAAAGCGAAGACTAATAAGACGCAGGCCCTGTCCTAATGGAACTCCCAGGCTAGTAAGGAAACGAGTTCCAGCGGACGTGGGCCGGGACACAGCCTTCTCTTCCTGTCACACTCCTAACCTCACCCGCAAACTTAGTCTTGAGGTGACTTTGTTATTAACAAGCTCCAACATACTCTTTCTTTACTTATTCTTCCTTTCTAATTAATGTCATCTATAGAACATAAATTCTAAGAAGATTCCCAGGAAAAAAATCCCTTTACTTGAGCCCTCTTTGTGTTTCTAAAAGGGGCTGAATTCTTCTCCTTCCTGAACTTAATCATTTTAACATGACAGATCAATCTTTAAATTCAGTTTTATATAGGACACTTTTAAATATGGATTTCCTAAAAAATGTTATTACCATCTCAGGTCCTACTGTTCTGCTACATACTTGAAGGGTGGAGCTATGGGCCTTATAACTGCAAGGAGACCCAGGACTCTACAATCTGACCGAAGAGGCTGCCAGTGACTGCTAATTAATGAATAAAGGGTTCAGAAGCATTCTAATACCTTAAGATAGGGCAGGGACATCCAAGATCAGGTAGTCAGATGAGCTCAGACCTTATTTTTTGGTAACAATCATAAATCAAGAGTCTACAGTTGATGCACAAATATTGTGGCTCTAATAGGATTTAGGTGTATATTGAGGTTTTATATTTTCCTTGGGTCAGCAATCATTAAATGTTCTTATTTCATGATACATTTTTAATGGAATTAAACTTAGAATCAATTACATTAAAATTACCAATGGCCTATAATTACTGGCTTGACACTGACATGGAATTAATCATCAACACCAAGAGTAGCTTGGTGGCTATATGACTAGGTCTGATTGGCCTTCTGGTTAATAATTAGGGAAAACATTTAAAATGTTGGTTGGGGCAGACTCAAGGCAGTGGGGCCACATATCAGATACCTGGGGTATGGCATTTTCTTTTCCTCTTTAAAGGCCTGTAATTCTTCTTTCTGGCATGTCTGTGGTATAGACAGGAGACAGATATTATGTTTTGCACTGACATGGAATAATCTAGACTTGTTGGACTGAGTTCATTCACGAGGAATTTATTGGATATTTATTATGCCTTCATCTATAAGACTCATACCTTTTCTCTCATTCTGTGGGGCTACTCTCTGTTGTTCTTTCCAAGGTGGGAGCTTGCAGGCTGCTATAGCTGAAAACGCGAAGTCCGGCAATCATTTCCAGGAGCCGAAACTCAAGGACATCCTTCTACAGGTTTCCCTTGGGCTTAAGTACATCCACAGCTCTGGCGTGGTGCACCTGGACATCAAACCTAGTCAGTACCACTCCCCTCTGCTCCTCTGGCCATGTGGAGTTCTTCCCCACGACTGTCAGAATCTGTGCCTGTGTGTCTATCGAGTGTCAAGTGTCAAAGATGCTGTCTGCCGGCAGAATCGCTTTCATTTGCTTCTCCTGAAAAAAAAAAAAAAAAAAATTTCAGTTAAAGAGCTTTAACCATTTCCCCCTAGGCCCAGGAGACAGACAGAAAAGACTCTTTCACACATAGTGAAGCCAAAGTATAAAAACAGGTATTTCATTTGCTGCATAGATAAGTGACAGCAAATTGGCTACATCCTGTGTTTATGACTAATGCTATATACTTAGCACTGATCGAAGTGAGCAGAAATGAATGATTTTCACACTCATTAATGTGAAACTCAAGGAAATGTTGTTCCTGTTTTATGTGCTTTGCTTATTTCTTTGTTTTGAGGCCACCAGCCTCTTCAGAGGATGCAGTATATTTAAGATCAGTTTCACTTAAATAGGTATTATCAATCACTGAGCTGTTCAGAAGTAGTGTGAGAGATTCCATGGAAGAAAAGAAACCTTGGTAGTCTTGTTACATGCACACAGAAGAGGAGGAAAGGAGGGTGGCTGAAATGTTGAATACAGAAAAGAATCCTTGGATTCTCAGGAATCCAAAAGCTTAGGAATCATTACTTATGTCAATTCTGTATTTTTTCAGGCAACATCTTCATTTGTCATAAGATGCAAAGTGACGCTCCTGTAGTCCCAGAAGAGATCGAAAATGAAGCTGATTGGTTTCTCTCTGCCAATGTGATGTATAAAATTGGTAAGTCTGTCTTATACTGTGACCTGTATACTATTATCCTATAAAATTTATACTGATGACTTCATTTATCCCAGTTTTAAGAAAGATATGCTTTTATTTATTTATTTATTTTTTAAGGAAGATCGGCCCTGAGCTAACATCTGTTGCCAATCTTCCTTTTCTTTTTGCTGAGGAAGATTGGCCCTTGGCTAACATCCGAGCCCATCTTCCTCTACTTTATATGGGACACTGCCACAGCATGGCTTGATAAGTGGTGCGTAGGTCCGCGCCCGGGATCCAAACCTGCGAACCCCAGGCCGCCGAAGTGGAGTGCGCGAACTCAACCACTATGCCACCGGGCCAGCCCCAAGAAAGACATGCTTTTATTTATTTATTTTTTATTTATTTATTTATTTATTTTGTGAGGAAGATCAGCCCTGAGCTAACATCCGTGCTAATCCTCCTCTTTTTGCTGAGGAAGACCGGCTCTGAGCTAACATCTATTGCCCATCCTCCTCCTTTTCTTCCCCCAAAGCCCCAGTAGATAGTTGTATGTCGTAGTTGCACATCCTTCTAGTTGCTGTATGTGGGACGTGGCCTCAGCATGGCCGGAGAAGCGGTGCGTCAGTGCACGCCCGGGATCCGAACCCCAGCCGCCAGTAGCGGAGCGCGCGCACTTAACCGCTAAGCCACGGGGCCGGCCCAAGACATGCTTTTAAAGAGCTCAATTTCTTTTTTCTTCTTTTAGGTGACTTGGGTCATGTGACATCAATAAGCAAACCCAAAGTGGAAGAAGGAGATAGTCGCTTCCTGGCTAATGAGATTTTGCAAGAGGTACGGATTATGGAAATGGGGGGTATTTTATAGTCCATTGAAAATTTTGACTCACAAATGAAGGTTCACAGTACAGGAAATGAAAAGTATATATTTATAATTTAAATTTATATTATCCTTTTCCTATTCACAATGGAGACCAAAGATAGAAGAGAAATTTTTCCATAAAAGTGTGAGGGAAGCTGGCTCAATCATGGATTAATCAATGTTTGTACTGCTCTTTGTAAAGGTTCTTTACTGTTTCTAGTATTTCTTAGACTTCCTAAACTTATGGATTGCCTAATAGGAAGGAAGCCTTTATTGGTCCAACCCATCTTTACCATGCTACTGTCCTCTTGATAGCACCACCAGCTCTGGCCACTGAAATGACCTTTAGTCATTAGCCACCTTCTATGAAGTCTGTGGAGTCAGGCCTAGGAAGGATATAACTTCCTCCAGGATGATAATCAGGAAAAAAAATGAATCTTTCCTATCTGTGATCAGCCAATCTCTGCTTCAAGCCCCTTTGAGCCTGACAGAGCAAAATGGCACCAAGAGCCTGCATTAGACTCTTCAGGGTGCAGCAATGTTAATCAGGTGGATTTGTGCTCTATTCTCTATCTGCTCTAGAAGCACCACTAATCACAGCGGATGTGACCTTACTCTTTGTGTCTGTTTAAGCTCACATGCACTCAAATGAACCTCTCCTACCAGTTATATTTTAGTCTAGACTGACTTCACTTGGCAAACAAACTAGCCTTTCTGTCTTCTGTTTTGAAGGATTATCAGCACCTTCCCAAAGCAGACATATTTGCCTTGGGATTAACAATTGCAGTGGCTGCGGGAGCAGAGTCCTTACCTACCAATGGCGCTGCGTGGCATCATATCCGTCAGGGTAACCTTCCGGACATTCCTCAGGAGCTCTCAGAAGAATTCTGCGGTCTACTTAAGGTGATCTCTCTTATGAGATGAAGAGAAGATGGAAATGTCTATTTTTTGTTTTAAATGTAACGGCAAATAGGTGGGGAAAGGAAAATGCAGATGTTGGGAGTGCCACTGACGGAAGAAAAAAGGAGTCATGACTAGGAAGCCCAGAAAAGACACAGGACAGATTGAAAGCTTCGCAAGGAAACTTACAGGAGATCATAAAAACCTTTTATGTTATAGTTTAATAGTCTTGTTGCATTTTTTCATTTGCCCTTCCTAACAGCCCTGTAAGGTAGCCAGTTGAGGAAACCAATGCTCAGAGCAGTTCTTTGACTTGTATTTCACCTTTGATAACTAATTAACTCCAAAATCAAACCTGTCTTTTTGCTCCTGTTTCAGGGTTTTAACTACTGTCAATGGTAGCAGTGATGATATCACTAAAAAAATTGAATTTTGAGTGTTTAGAAGAAAGTAAAGCTACTTTATTGATTAATAACTGACAATACCACCAATCATTTGAGCTATTGGAAGAAGGCATAACATCAATTCAGGAATCTATGTGTTGCTTGTACTCAGTGATAATCTGTGCATGTGTAGGGATAAGGAAAGGAAGGTATTACAGTGAAACAGAGAGGTACAAAAAAAACCACACTGTCGAGAAGCTTAGAATTATACTAAGGAAACAAAATGTATATGTAAGACTTACTTCATGGCTTAAGGAACAGGATTGCTTAGGATCCCTAAAATAGCCTTAGAAATATCTACTCTTTTGAAGATTAAATTTGAGTTGCACAGTTTACCTGAAAACTTCAAATTTAATTACAAACTTGTCCTTCTTTCTCACTTCTGCTTTCCTGAAAGAGGGAGGCAAACCCTTCCTCACAGTGGGGGTCCTTTGTTTGTAGTCTAATCATCTATTTCTGTGTGTAAACTGCTCTTAGATTTAGTTGATACTTATTGAGTACCTCAATGCTGGCCCTGTGCTAGGTAATACATATATGTTACTGCATTTAATTCTCACAACAGTCCAGAAGGCGAATATTGCTATCCCACATATCAGGAAAGGGAAACCATGTTTCAGCAAAGTTAAGTGACTTGCTCAAGGTTATGTAGTAAGTGGTGGAGCTGGCTCTGAACACTGGTCGCCAGATGGAAGGTTCAGTGTTTTCTTCATTATACGACACTGCTAGCTGCTGTATATAATTAGGTATTTTCTACTGTATTCAAATCATTTTAGGTTACAGACATCCTCTACCTGAAGATAAATTATGTAGGAATACTGTCATGGTGGGGTATCCTTAATTAGCTTTAAGTGAAAAAGGAGCATGTTGTGGTAGAAACTACATTGAACTAGGAGTTGGGTAAGTTGGGTTTTAGTCTTGGCCAGGTCAATAACTTGGACGAATCACTTTTTATGTCAGGACCTCAATTTCTCCCTGTTTAAACTTAAGGCATTAGACTAGTTAATCATCCAACTAGATCTAAAATGTGATATTTAAAGACAAGTCAAAGATATGGATGACACATGCTACCAGCTAGGGATGATATTCCTGTCCCAGGTGGAGCTAAGTTTTCATTTATTTCTTCCCTCTGTACAAAAGAAGAAGAAGTTTCACAAAATCCACCAGCAGATGCTGGGTTGGGGTTGGCTTGGGTGGGGATATTTTCCCAACACTGAAGCTTCTGTTTCCTCCCTTTTGGTGCTACATCATCAGAACATGATCCACCCTGATCCAGGGGAGAGACCTTCTGCAGCAGCTCTGGCCAGAAGTCGAGTTCTCCGTCCCTCCCTGGGGAAAGCAGAAGAGCTCCAGGAGCAGCTTAACTTGGAAAAGTTCAAGACAGCCACACTGGAAAGGTAGGTTTTGGATGTTGAGTCAAGAAAGAATCTATTTGCCTACTACTCACAGTGACATGAGTGGTCTGGTGTCTTTTCTATGGATTCAGGTGGCACCCAACATTATAATACACAGGCCTCTGCCCACAAAGAGACTAGCAACATGAGTCCCTTTGTAGTATGGGGCTGCAGGCTATGTGACTAGACTGCTTGAGAGAGAAAATTCCAGTTAATGCAAAGGAAGCCAACTGAGGAATACAAGGAAATACAACTGGTAAAGAAAACTTAGCGGGATTCTGAGTGACAACAGGTAATCAAGTAACTGGTGGATGATCACCCAATACAAGATAACCATAGTTAAGGTGGGAAGAGACCAATTTTAGAAATCCATTAAATTTCAGGGTCAGGTAGAGATACTGTCTTGGTACATTTTTAGAGGAAAAGGTATTTTTCCAAGCCGAAGGAAGCAGTCTTTATTACTTATTCCTGTAAGCTTGTATTCATGCATGTATTCATTTATTAATTCCTTCATTAAACAAATGGAAATTAATTAAATTGATGGGATAGGGTTGGTATAAAGGTCAGGCAGTGATGTTTGAGCAGAGTTCTCAAGGCATTTTTAAGTGATTATTACATACACTGTGCACTGTTAAAAGTATAAAAGAAGGAGATGAAAAAGTCCTTGTCTAAAATAAGCTTAGAAGTCCAACTTCTCTTGGATACACAATCTATCTTGGAATGACTAACTTGAAAAGTCCCCAAAATGATTTCTTGGCAATGAGTTGTGGAGATTCTAAGCCTTTAGTCAGGTAATTCTTCCTAATAAGCAACTTAATATTTTTTTGCTCTAGTTTTGGATTCTATTTTCCCAGCTAATAAACAAAATCCAAGTACTTATATATATGTTGTCATAGGAATAGAAGTATTTCTTAAGGTGTGATGTGTACATTCTGTGAAGCCAGCTGTGGAGACACAGGTGACTGTCATCAGCCGTCAACAGTAATGAGCACCCATCACAGAGATGGGGCAGATGCCTTCTTGAAGACCAGGGGTTGGCAAACTTTTGCGTGAAGAGGTAGACAGTACATATTCTATGCTTTGTGGGCCATATAATCTTTGCTGCAGCTACTCAGCTCTGCTGTAGTAACGTGAAAGCAGCCATAGACTGTGTATAGATGAATGAGTGTGGCTGAATTCCAGTAAGACTTGATTTACAAAACAGGTGGCAGGCCAGATTCGACCCACGGGCTGTGCTTTACGGACCTCTGGAGCTTTCATATATAGTCTGCAGTCTTGCTCCCCCACTTTTTTTTTTTTTAATTTTAAAGACCACCTGTGCCCCAATTAGTAGAATTTAGGAAACTGAACCTGCCATGTCTTGTGGCATGTGTGTGCCAGCCACTTTTTAAGACAATCACAGGAGCTAATTTTCTATTCTATATACAGCTCAGGCTTATTTCTATAAATACTGAAATAAAAAGAAAAATCTATTTATATGTTAGTTTTGATCATAAATCTTATCTCTAATTTAGGATCAAGTAACATACATTTTTCCTCTTTCATTGCCAGGGAACTGAGAGAAGCCCAGCAGGCCCAGTCCCCCCCAGAAGGCCCTGGTGACCCTGGGGTCTCTGGGACCCCCACAGGATCAAGAAGCAAACGCCTGGTGGGAAGAAAGAGTGCCAAGTCTTCAAGCTTCACCTGTGGGACGTCTTCCCCATAAGAACTCATTTCTCACCATCCCACCTTTTACCGTATAGCTTCCTGAAACAGATATTGACCTGTCAGCCTTTCTCTTGTAAATGGAAAGATGAACCAACTTGACTGCCCAAAGATTTCAAAAGCCACTCCTAATTTAGCATTTACAGCCAATGTCCTAACGCTGTTAACCTCCTCTTAGCAATGGTTCCAGATACAATAATTGGCAGCCATTTCTCTTCTCCATCGTTGTATTCCTAACGGCGCCTATCAACAGTTTGTTCCCTTGTCACATTTGTTGATGCACAACGGGAAAGCATGGGCCTCTGAACTGAAAGAGGAGGCGGCCCTCGTGCAGCCTATGGACTAAGAGGTTGCTGTAGCTGATCACCTACCAAGGGTCCCCGGGACTCTTGCTGTGCATAGAAAGGAATACAATTTTGTTTTGAGTTGAGGTAACAGCTTACAAGAAAATGTGCCTGGATTTCAACAATGCTTCCCAGGTTATATGATGGTATTCCTAAGAGAATTCTCAGCCTTTGAGCAAGTGGCTTTCCCACTGTATTTTCTGAATGGAGATAACCCCTTTCTCTGATATTGTATTTATTAAACAAATGACTCCGTTATGTGAGGTGGGTAGAAGTAAGACTACACATAATTTGAAATTTCTGAGCTGGCTATTAACTTATGGAACAAAAACATTGGGTAGGGGGTCTGAGGGAGATTTGATGTGGCTATTCTCCCACAGACTACTTGCCTTAATCCTCTTGTAACTGTTACGATTGGTTTTGATTTCCTGGGTGTCAACAATTTTTCCTTGATTTTATCAGAATTTGGCTTCATTTACTGTGATTTTACCATATTTTATCCAAATCCTTTTCTCTGTACATATTTTTAAAGGAATGGAATATTTGTAAATAAAGGTTTTTATCTTGTCCAAAGCCAAATATGTGTAAAGCACTCTTCTTTGTAATATGGAACTAACAAAGAATGAGAAATTTATGTTGGAAACCATTTCATGAGTAGACAGGTGAGAGAATTTGGTGGGTTGGTACTAACAGGTCTTGGCTTCAAGTTCCAGCTTCACGGGCCCAAAAGCTAATAATGGCCAGGCTACGATATAAAATGATGTTGGCCATAAAGGCATTTGATAACTTCTAGTTGTGTCATATTAACGGAGGTAGCCTGTTAATAGCTTGCAGGCTTTTTTGCTGCCTTATTTTCTTCTTTTCTCTTAATTTTTAAAAGCAAATTAGGTTTTTTTAATTGAATAAACCATCATACTATTCTATCTTGGAGTAGCAATTCTTTCCACGCAATTAAGTGGGGTATAGTGTTGTCCATTGCCATTTTTTAAAACTAGTCTTTATTCAAGGTTTTAAAATTGAGTTAATTTATCTCTTGCCTCTCCCACCTCACCATGTCCCTTGCAGCACAGTGCAACGTCAACCATAATTTGTGATTTATAGACAGGTACGTCATTACGACTATGCAATGAATAGACCAAAATTCTCTGGTTACACGTGTCTTCTCAGGTATTGACAACTACTATTAGGGTCTATGACCCCTTCTCTACCATGTTCCTCAAAGCCTACCCAGCACCTGAATGACCTGGTGCCAGACTATTGGTATCTCTCCCTCCCGTCCTGCTGGGCTCCGCGGTAGCAGGAAGTCACCAAAAGAGCAGGTAGCTGCATGGACGCTGAGTGTGAGAGGCTCTGGGCCTTAATAGGCTCCAGATTTAATCCCTTCCATTTCAGTTAGAAGTTTCCCCCTTGCCTCAGGAAGAAGCTCCGTTCTCAGTCATGAAGTTCTATTTCTGCACTGAGATCACAAGAACCCAGGAACTATTAAGTATCAAATTATCAAAATATTAACATCATTGGGCTGGGAATGTTAAAGAAGTTAAATTTAAACACTTTAAAGGAGATAAATATGTTGCTTTTCTACAGATGTATCTTAAACAGGAACACTGACATTAAGGTGCCAACAGATAACCTTGAGTTAAAGAAATCTTAAAGAAATACTACTGGGCTTTGCTAAGCTCTAACATATGTACCAATTTATGGAAGCCATTTATCTAAAACTGTAGAAAGATGAACACTGAAAGATAAATTCAACATTTCAGCCTAAACAATTAGGCTTTTTTTTTTATCTCTATATGAATCATAATTTCAATCTTGGATTACATAAAAATTATCAGGTTGATTTTAATTTAACAGCAATAAAAAATAGTCATAATAACTATGAAGTATTGCTAAAATTGTTTTTGAATCAATTTAAAATAGATGTTAGTAATCAGTGTAGGTAATAAGTGCTAAACTTTTGAACAGTTTTTATGAGACTTGAGGAAAAAACTGATTTAAAAGTAAGTTAAAATATCTAAAAAATGTTTTTTTTTACAGCAACAAAATTCTCCAAAGCTTCCTCTCTGTGACAAAGCACTGCCAACCCTGGTCTTTACCACTTGATGCCTCTACCTGAGACTTTGTTTTAATTTAGGGGGAAAAAAGGCAAGGCCAAAGATAACTTTGTGGCCCTGGGCATATATGAGAGACACGTCCCTTAGCTAGCTTTGCAAAGAGTGGAAGCCCTCAATTATTCTACTACTGCCAGGGGTAATGGTGGCTGATTAAAGCCACAGTGCTACCTGTCACCACTTCTCAGCATTGAGAAGGCACTTTCTGGGTCCATGGATGAACTACAGAGAGTCTACGATTACGTTCAAGTGTGTGTGCAGGTATACGCACACCATGGAGAGGTTTCAGAATTTCCTCATCAAGATAAAAATTGTAGATTCTGGAAATGGGTGTCTTTAATACAAAAATACATTTCAGCTGCTCTTTTAGGTCCTTGATTCTTTTGTTTGTTTCTTTGATCTTCTAATTGCAGGTCTATTTGAGTATACTTCTGGGTTCTTCCTAGTTCTTTGTTCTGGCCTGTGGCCTGGGTCCTTCTAAGGCCTGTTCTTGTTTTAAAGCATAATTGCTAACTAGATAGTCACAACAAAGTCCCTGTCCTCTAAGAGCTCACAATCGATGGGGACAAGGAGGCACCTTCATGGGCATTTAAATTCTAGTACAAGATAGACTGAGTGTGTAAAGAAAGCGAAATGGGAGAAGAGAGAAAGGAGGGACTATTGGAGTAGAGAAGTTTGAAAGTGTAGGGAAAAGGCATTTCTGACGCTGAGGACAGTGAGAGCAAAGTGACGCTGAAGCATTTGCTTTGCTGGAAAGGAGGATCTATTTGATAACAGAAGAAAATGCTTTAACTCCGTTCTTCCATCACATTATACGTCATAAAATTTAGTGTATTTTAGTATTTTTTTCTTTGTCAAAGAAGAAAAAGGAAAGTAGCAGCACTTGCAACTTTCTCCAGCCAAAGTCTAAGAATGTGTGTTGGTAATTCCTGACTGAGAGAGAACTCAGATTAGCATAGATTCCCCACTAAGATGTTATTTATAAAGCTATAAGAGTTCACCCAAGGTGTCTCTAGTTTCAATTTGCATGGTGCTTTCTGCTCAACCTTTTCCACACACCTCACTCCAAAGTATTCGTGAGTAGAATGGAAGAGGGAGATATTAGTGGCATAATGAAGAAAGACTTAGGGCCAAGTGATTGGATATGGATGAACATATGTAGATGATCAGGGAGAAGTTTTAAAGGTGATTCCAAAGTTCAAGTCTGGGAGAATCTCGGTAGCATCAAAACAAGCAAGGAGCTTAGAAGGGGGAAACTGACTTTGAAGGAAAGGATGAATTTAGCTTTTCATTTGACTCAACAGCTCAAGTGGAAGTAGAATTTTTTTTTTTTTTTTGCCTGAGGAAGATAAGCCCTGAGCTAACGTGCCAGTCCTCCTCTATTTTGTGTGTGGGTTGCTGCCACAGCATGGCTGACCAGTGGTGTAGGTCCACACCCAGGATCTGAACCCGCTAACCTGGGCCATCGCCGGAGCACACAAACTTAACCACTACGCCACGGGGCCAGCCCCAGAAGTGGGATTTTTAAATAGGAAATCATTGGAGGGCACTGACAGTAGTAACATCACGGGTGGTGCGTGGGGTGATTAATACCAGCAGAAGACCTGAACACAGTATGACATGGTATGTTTCAGGAACTAAACACTGTGAAGGTGGAAGTAAAATGGAGATAAGCACCTAGCAATATACCAACTAGTAAGTCAGACTTTCAGGAGGTGGGTTAAGGTGTATGTTGGAAACCGTGTTACATAGTTCATATTTTTTCATATAAGGGCAAGAACGGGCCATTGAAGGGTTTTAAGCACGGTCCTGAAGAGATTTGCATGTTAGAATGATCTGGAGGGTACCTTCCTTTTCTAGAAGCTGGACAGAGCCAGGACCAGGAGATAGGAAGACCTGGGGAGGCCCCTCTGGCCTGTATTCTGCAGCCTGTGGGGCTCTATACTGCTGTTTCTTACCAGGGCCAGGATTAGGGTGAATGAGGCAACATTTATGGGATGCCAAGAAAACCAGCAATCAAGATTAATGATACTTTAATGCAATATTTTCAAAATATTAAAATTAATGAAAAAATCCACCATGAACAAAATATCAGAGTTTTAAATAAAGACAAAGTCAGTAAGCTGAAGTTAATTAAAATTACTTAAGATTGCCACTCGGTCAAGAAAAATTGTCAGACGTGGCAATTCTTGCAATTGGAAATAAGCTACACAAAGAAGTAGATTTTGAAAATATTGATCAATTTACTTCCATTAAAGCCAGGAAAATAAAATTATACAAATTATAATAAATTCAGTTTGTGGTATAAATAAAATATTTAAACTTAAACCAGTGTTATGAGTTTTCATACATGTACTTTTCAAATTTTCGACATTTCTTCAAGTACTTTAATTTTCTGGAAAAGAACTTTTTTAAATATATAAAAACATGTATGTAGGGACACATATTTTTCCTTGTGCCTCAGGATCTGGTATGGCTCAGATCTTAATTAAAAATTTAATTTTTTGTTCATCATGGATTTTTTGCATTAATTTTGACTTTTTAAAATATTGCATTAAAATATTATTTATCTTGATTTTAAATTCTGCTGTCTCAGCTCTTTCCTTACTCCTTTTTCTGGTTTTCTGACTGCTTGAGGAGGCCTGGACCTTTCTAGCTTTTCCCAGAGCCAGAGCTATCTTTTGTTTGACCTAGCTCGCCCTCTCCCGGACGCAGTTGGGAACCTCATCAAATAATTTCCTTTCACTAGAAACCTGACATCAGTTCATTCACCACTTGTGGCGGTCACCATCCTCTCGCACCCGGAAAGAAACTCCCGGAACTACCGCGTTAAGCGGCCGTGTTTCCCACGGCGCTGGCCGGCAGCGTTTCTACGCCGCACGCCGAGGCCTTTCCGTCTTCTTCTTCCTCTCGCGAGCCTTGCGTCCCGGCTGTACCCGGAAGTGATCCTCTCCTGAAGGCTGTTCGGGCTAGAGCGTCAGGTGAGGGAGAGAAGGAGTGTGGAGTCCTGTGCTGGGTGTGCGTGCGGCCCTGCGTGGGTCGGAAGGTGGTGCTGGGGCGGTGTCAGGCCCTTTTCTTCTCACCGGTGCGGTGCGCGGTTTGCTGCCACCTCCCTGCCGTCTACGTTGTTGGTTGGGAGCGCCACCTTTGGGAAGGGGAGCCCAGGCATGTCCTTGGTCTTTGCTAACGGGCATGGAGGCAGTAATTTCTGCAGCAGCAATTTCCAGATTAAAGTCTCTTGATGACATTCTAGTATTTATTGAGCCTCACTGTGTGTTGTAGAAGTAATGGGTGTGGCAGTAAGTAAATCAAACAAAAATCTCTGTCGTAAGGGAGCTTGCATTTTAATGCAATTTGGGAAGACAGTGGAATGGAAATGGGCATACTAACTCAGAATCCTAAGTTTTTGTATAGGTTGGAGGAAGAAGAAGTTAAGGGGGATCGGAAAGACATAGACGTGGGAGGGTTTTTGTGGGGGAGGGGATCCTTCTTGTCAAATGTGCAGGGAGGTTGTGTTTTTGTCGCAGGGTGGACTGCATAAAAATCATGAATGCAGGGAGGAATTTAGGACTAGCGAGTTTGTGCTCTTGCTGTAAGATGTAGTATTTGTCTCTTATTTTTTTTTTCCAGGAAAGACTGAAGATTAGATTGTAAGAAAAGAAAATAGAAGCCATGTTTCGAAGACCTGTGTTACAGGTAACACTTTCCCATGTTAGTGCTGAGGTG